GCATTGTGCAGCAGGTTAAGCATCGTGGTTGACCAGTTGAGTACCAAAGGGTGGTACAGAAACTTACCTTAAAACCGACGCGGTGCCACTAACGCGTTCACGCCAGATAAGAAACCTATAAAACTACTCTGTATAATAAAAAACTGAATATAACTAAAGAAAATATAGAAAAGCCTAATTGGAAGATACGAGTAATACACGATTAACCTATGACTCGGATGGAAATGCAAGCAGGCAGCACAAAATCAGTCAAGCAAGAAAATTTCATACCACCCGAGTGAGAACCCTGAAAGTGGCAACTTTCAGCAAGGCAACAGTTGGTTTAAATAGGGTGGCCGGTGTGAACGCACAGGATGTACTTACACGTACAGGCTTAACGGATATCCACGCTCCACTCAATGGACAATGGGGGAGGTCACCCGTTAGCCAGTACGAAAAAGTGCAGAATTCGATTGGTACCACAGTACAATAATTATGGACATTGGCTGTTGGGCAAGCTACACCTCGCAAGTGAGACGGTATTAACACTGTTTACTTTAATGGCGATGTATGGAGGGATCGTTGTCTATTGGCAGCAAGGACAGCGGAGTGCGGTGCATGGACATTTGTCCCCTCCCAACGCATAGTCGGCCGAAAGAAAACGAGCTGATTCTGCGTGATCAAGCAACGGTGAAAAGCGGGAATTGTTCGGCTGTTGTAGGTGCTGCACTGCCCGAACACATCCGTACAGGGACTTTCGTCAAATGCAGTCTACTGCTTGGTGAGGTACTCCGTTCGGTGTTTGCAGACGAAGCAGAAAAGCCCATTAGGCGATTGAATGACTCCGAAACGCGCGGTTTTCCCGTTGCAGGTGAAGTTGACGTTGTGGAGCTCATGTGGGGTATATGTACCAGCGGGATTATCGGGGTGAATATGGACTATACAATCCAGTTGGTGGGCGTTTCTTTGGTAGGCAAATTGCTTGTGTGGTTTACAGTCAACTTGGAACTGGATACGCATATTGTACGGTTTCAGACGTCCCGCGCTAGTTTCCATACGGAGGGGATGAGAATGTCTCCATTATCAGACGAATTCTCGACAAACAGTGACACGATGATGCTCTCGATGCAATTTTGGCGGCATGTGTTTTTGTAGTACTTGGGAACCGTGACGCAGATGAAGGTGGGTGCAGTGTGCGCATCGTGGAACCGGATGATGAAGACGCCAACACTGCAGGACTGAATTCGAAAACTCTGAGCTGGATTACGGCCATTTCTTGCGGATAGCGACGGTATACGAGTACAAACGACTGCAGCCGTGGACGAAACACGCTGTGGCGCAGGCTTACTACCCCCACACATCCGGCTAGCCGTGGAGATGCATCCGGCTGAGCAGTCTTCATCTGAGCCGCTTCAGTCGGGAGCTGCAGATTAACCCTGCCGCTGCTCTATTTGACCATGCCGAATGTGTCCTGCACTCAGCGGATCCGGCAGCGAGCCAGGAGTTGGGGAACTCCGCTATGGGCTGGAGGATGGCATTGCCGGCTGCGGTCGTCTGCCTTGTGATGCTATCCAGTTGAACGACTGCCGGGTTGATTTGCTCTGCTGGCATTACTGTTTTCTCCACTTGGACTGCTGGAAAGAGAGACTTGTTCGTGTAGAGATGAACATTGGTACTTCGCGTCTACCCGTGGGTGCTGTCATGTCATCTGCCCCGGCGTTAAGCAGCAGTGAATAACGATAGCGTTTCCTGTTTGACAGATGTTGTGCGCGCTGGAAACAGCTGATCCGCATCCGTCGGCGCATTACCACGGGAAGAAGTGGTACGTCTCGTATACCTTATCAAAGCACCGCTTGAATGTCAGGCGGTCCCGTCACTGACACGTGAGCCGATTGAGACTTGTTACCCTCTCTTCTGCATGGGTCACGCTGTTTTTGCTGTCATTTGCACTGCCCGCATTTTTGTGAGGACAAATTGTCGGTATAAAATTTAATCGCTGCGCCCTTTTATAACTATAAATTAGATGACTGCATGCATGCGCTGATTTGTTTTATCTGATTTATTATACGCTACGTTTGTCTTATTTATCCCTCCCTTTGGGCAAGAGATTTTGTGGTAGTGAGTGACTACAGAGAATAAGAAAAGCGAGGCGAAGAATGTCAGAAGTGAGTAAACATTTAGTGGACGCAAGTATCTCCTAACAAAATCATTGTCGCATCGCACTGGAGAATCAATAACAATTTCACGCCCAATAGAGCAAGTATCAGAGAGCTTGGGATGGGACCCTGGCACGTGTCAGCCACGTCAGAACAACAAATATTAGCTCACTGAAAGGATTACTCTGTGAGCCGAAACTTAGTTGGTTCCTCAGTACACGCTTTCTCAAGCAGCGACGAACTAAAAAAACGGCTTAGGATCTCACACGGTGTTACTGTCCATCCGTAATATAATGACGTCTTTATGCTGAGGCACCACGTCGAACCGGGTCCTGGACGTACTGCATTCCACGATGGTATTCCGAGGCGATTATTGCCACAGTTTCTCTGTTCTGTCGTCGGTGAACGGCGTTTCCTATTAAGGTGAATACGTGGGCAGTTAGAGCAATCCAGCTGAAAAAGCAGCCGGTTCCTAAACACCAAACAAAACGTACGAGGACCATTGGGTGCTGTGAACATACCCTGCACGATTAGGCTACGATGAACAGCCGGCTAAAGTTAAGCCGTTTGCATTCAGACTGTGATATCAGTGGCGTTGCGAGCTACGGCTGTTCATCGCAGCCTAATCGTGCAGGGTATGTTCACAGCACCCAATGGTCCTCGTACCGAAGCCGATGCAAATATAAAAGAGCTGAGCACATTCCCATCGAAAACACAAAAATTTTACCGGTAGATAAACAGTTATGGCCAAGCGAACTTTTTCGACACAACTTAGCCGTAGCGAACGTAGCGTAGCCGACTATGTCACCTTTCTGTTCCTGGTTTCCAAAACCAGGTATCAACCTGCAATATACGAGTAATATGCTTCTTTTTTACGGCGCGACTGACACCGACTGACACCTACTGGCCTTATTTAGAATTATGCGTACAAACTTAATTACAGTTTCAATTTTGTGGAAGCGAAAACTCGAATCAACCGACACGAAGCGCCGCAGCCTGCACAAAATCGGCTCCAGCAGGAGTCAAATTAAAACTAGAATGATTACTGTCACATGTTCGCATGACCATTTCTGTTGGCACGAAACTCCATCAGTCAATTAACTGCGCAGCAGATTAGCGATCTTTTTTTAAGGGAAACACACTTGCACAACATAGTCGGAAGATTCACAGCAATAGGCGGCCAATAGCAACTGGCAACCCAGGCACGAACAGAATAAGCATTAATTATGTAGAAAACCGCAAAAGAAAGCCGAGTATGGCACCTTTTGTGGCCGTGCTGCGGTCACCAGGTTGGTCAAACACAGCGGAAATTCAAGCTGCCAGATTTCAACGGGGAAGTGGCTACGTCATGTATTTTGATTGTGGGCGTTTATCTGACTGTGGATGTATTTACCGGGCACAGGCTACGAGTAGTACTCCGCTGTCTATTAAGAAACACCCAAGAAATCTAATTAAGAGAAGCTCTAATCAGCTGAACCTGCTTGGTTGCATGACAGAGGGTGCCGCTCATTTTTCCTGTTGACATATATTATACAGGCAATTATGTAATACTCGTATATCTGTAGATCGAGCGGTAACGTTTGATCTCACTTCCTCTTTCGGTCTTTCCTTACAGCAATTATTTTCGTACGGTACGTACCAGTGGTACCACCAACAGAGCGCGGCGGAGTGAAGCAGACAACTTCTTTGATGGTTTGCCGGTAGTGCTCACCGGGTTGTCGTGCTAGTAATTTATTATCCTGCTTCCGTACAGCGCGGCTGACACACTTGCATCACTTAATATTTATTGTTAATACACAGGCAAACCAGAATAATAAGTAATCGATGCGTACGTCGAAAGGGAAAGTTCAATTCTGGCAGCATCAATGCCAACCGTCACAGGGCAGCGTAAGAATCTATGACAGCTTCCATGATTTCAGCAGCGGTCAAAGTAAAGCTTTAGTAATGATCATCAAATATGAGTAAATTTGTTGAAGTATTTATGTAATATATGTAATAGGAAACAAATTTGATAGGGAAACTAAGACGCAATTAAGGCTGTGCTTTCTTTCGGACCAAAACAAAATGCTGGTCTCATGGCATCTGCTTGCACAGCAGGCGGGCAGCAATTTCAATAAACAAAGGCAGTGTGTCCGCAATACGGATAATATTAAAATATTTGTAAAGGGTAGTAGTTTTTTTTTCTTTTAATTGCTGTTAACAGTAATACAGTAGTTATGGTGTTCTCGTGGTAGTTAAAGTTATAGGGACACAAAAACGCAATAAAGGCTGTGTTTGTTTTTAGTTATGGTGTTCTCATGGCATCTGCTTACACAGCAAGCGACAGCAATGCCGGTAAGTAGGAAAGTGTGCGCTTAATACGGAGAATAGTTAAAATATTTGTAGTGGGTAGTTGTATTTTTACTTTAATTGCTGTTACAGTAATGCACGACGATTCCTGGTGATGTCATGATAAAGAGTATCGCCTAACACGCATCCGGTGATTTTGAGCATTAATGAATCTAGTCAACCAAAGTTACAGAACCGAGTTGCAGTCGATAATTGCTGACCGGCAAGGGTACCAACCAGAAACGGGATTGACGCACCGCCCTGTGGCCTTTCCGTATTCCTCGTCCGTTGTGCTCATACTGTACAAAGCGCGTCGCAATCTCCATCACAGCAGCGTCATTTTATTTCCCAATATTCTTCATTCCGCCGTATTGTGTACACATAATTATGCCGGCATATTTACTTGTATGCGCAGGTCGGCGTGCGGCGCCTATATCTGTACAGACTATACTGTCTCGGATCTAGTCTCCATAATATCAATCCCCACCGCGTGGTGACCAAAACCGGCACTTAATTAGCGTCATAAGGTGTTGCCGGATATTTCGAGCAAGCCAATAAATACTTTAGCGCTAATAGGGTGTTTGTTTGGCTGCACGGTGGCCCGCAGGATACATAATGCCAGACACCGACATCCAACAATCCGCTTTTTCTGCGACATTGGCTTTAACTTACTTTTGGCTGGCAAGAAATGTCTGTCGGATCTGATCATCCGGATCAGCGCACGGAAGCCGGGATGCGCGCCATAAAGTCCTTGTGATCGGAATCCGGCTGTATCCTGATGGGCGGGGCTCCAGCGCGTGACTGAACCCGGGAAGCGGGTGCTGTATTGTACCGGCTTGTCGATCCAGCCGGTGCGGTTAAAGACGCGTATAAAGCCCGGTGCCGGCACGAGCGCAGCTGCATACACATTTAGACACACGTCAGGGATTATAATTAATGATGGATGGGTGAGCTGCAGCGTCCGATCGGGCTGGATATGTGCTCCATTTCCGTTGTGTGCTGGAGTTTGCATTTTAATCCGGCGCAACAACAGTGTTGAATTTTTCCTCGTGCATTCTTTGGCGTTACGTAGTTTGAAGTTGATCGCGTGTTGTACAAATTATTAGCTCGATTGGTCGCAGCAGTAATTCGCCGCATCTGATTTTCTATTTTATTGCTATTTTATTTTTTTTAATTATCCGCAGCCGCTGATATTTTTATTATTTGAATTAATACGCTACTGATATTATTATTGTTTAATTTTATTTTATTTTTATCCCCATCTAATTTTTTTATTTTTTTTAATGTTTTCATTGTTATCCGCATCTGATTTTCTTACTGGCGCATTCTGCGGAAGATGAGCGATACGAACGAAGCGCTGCTGGACTGGCTGCGCAGCGGGCGTCTGCTACAGCCGAACCTGCCGTTGAATAACTCGAACTCACTTCCCGATGCGGAGCCCTTCGGAGGACGCTGGCGGCAACTGTTGGTAGCGACGCTGCTGGAGTTGGACAGCTACAACACCACAGGCTTGAGCTTGGCCGGAGCGCTGGCCTTGAGCGACAGCCAGCTGCGCAAGTGGGCGGCCGCAGCCCAGGCCGACGCGACGGCCACGGCATTCCCGGAGCTGGAGCCCAAGATGTTCAGTCCCGAATACCAGGTGGCCGCCACGCTGCTGCACACCCTCATCTTCCTCTTCGGGATGCTGGGCAATCTGCTGGTCATCGCCGTGGTGATGCGCCGGAAATTCCTGCAGACGCCCGTCAACTATTATCTGGTACGGTCAATCAATGATAAAAATAACTATTTAAAAATTATTCATGCGCTGCTAGACACGCGTAGCACGCTGATTATAAGGTTGTAAATAGATTTTGGGTTAGGAAACAGATTTTTCGGAATATCTTGTATTCCTATGAACCCGGAAGTAACTCAATGGAAAGCACTTTATGTGTCGTAAATATTTAACTTAATATACCTATCATGATTGCGTGATACGGTTTATCTGTCACAAAGTCGATTTGAAGCTACTTATCATCACTGAAAACTTGCCGGCATAATTGACTGTAATTGTAACAAAAATAACATAAGTAATTAATTCGTTTCAAATAACATTTTAATTTATGCATAAAAATCTATTCCGTAAAACAGAAAATCTTGTTATAATTATATGTACGGCTTATGGCTGCATAATGTCTTCGTCTGAGCGAACGCGTGCCGGTACTTGAAATACGCTTATCCTTCACCGCGCCGATTATTGCAGCACAACTGCCGAAAGTGTCAGCGTACGCGTTAATGATCGGTTCACTTGTGTGTTGTTGTTGGGTTGTTGTGGCGCATGAAATTCAAGTGGTGGTCTGACGCAGAACGTGATTGGTTTTGTCATCAGTAAGTGATGGGTGTTGATGTGATGGGATCATTAATGGGATCACTGCAGCTGGGAAATACGTAGCTGCATATATGCTCCTTCCTCACACTGTACATTAATTTTAGTCTGGCCGCATTTTAAAGTTCAGTCTGGCCGCAACAGGAACCTGCGTAACAGATGATGGACTTCCTGTGGTTAATAAATTAGGTCGCCCCTTGGGCACCGGCTTCCGGTTGCCCGCCATAACACTTGGCGCTTTTACAGACTTTATACTACGGTTCCTTCAAACGGCGAATTACAGTGCAGATTGGCAGTTAATTGACGCCATGCAGATTAGCTGCCGCTAATTACGCTAAGCTTCCGCTGCATTATGTAGGGAGCTCTTTGTCCGCTGTAGAACCCAGGGGACATGTCGCGATCGTCATGACCGGTATAAACCTAATCCGCTAAATTCTTTTAGACGCCAGTTGCCGGTCACATTGCATCTGTGTATTTTATAAATTTTTAACGCACAACGCAGACAGTTGCCCGTATACTTCTATTAATAATTCAGTACACATATAGGAGATTAATTTCATTGTGCCGGCGCACGCCATTCTCCCGAATCACGAGGTGTATAAAATCAGTTTATGTAGGCCGAGCTTTATCATCCTAACCCCGCCCATTGGGGACGATAGCGTCCGATTTCAAGGATAAATCGCTTGGAGAATGCAGATTGCGTACGTAGAGACAGTATACAGGAATCGCATTGATATTGGCAGACGTCATGGTCTTAATGTCGCTTTTTGTCGCAAAAGGTCAATCCCGTGGCCGGGCTGCACAATATGGGTAGTGCGTCATGCAGAAAATGGACAGAAGAATGACCTTTGCTGTTAAAACGCGGGGTTAGTGTTTCTGCTATTGTAAATTTTGTCGATTCTTAAAAATAAACATTAGGTATTATCTTTTCTAGCTGAAACGTTACGTCACAATTATTGGACACCAATGTACAAGGATACGCTAATACCTTATACTCATTTTACAAAATATGACAGCAGTAATGTCGTGCAGTTGGCACATAGGACGATATTGTTGTGTAATTTTCTTATTATCCTTGGCCAAGCAAATAGAAATGTGAATTTGATCCAAACGGTGCAGAAAGCATCGATCGCTAATATGTTACCAGAAATACTGTTCAATTACCACGCAATTGTTAAATCGATCTGGCCCAGACAGGACAGTTTTTTTCGGTAACTGAACCGTATTGGATTTTTTAACATGTCTATAGCTTCCGATCGATTTACAGTACAAATACCGCGGATAATTATATTTATGCGAATCAATCCGGCCGCGCATTGTCGTACTGTAGATTCACATTTTCCCGAAACGATTTTTTTATGGCTTCGATATTTATTTTACGGTTTAGCACGTATGCATTCATGTACAGAGTATTCAGTCTCAGCTGAATCTCGGTCTGGTAAGAATTAAGCAAAAAACTCCCTTTTTACTATCATCAATACGGTACTTAAAATGAGCAGCGCTCGGAAAGAAGCGAAAAAAGCATGACATGTTCCGCATATCTCCATACTTCGCTGTACAGGCCGGCCTCCGCAGAAGCCATTATACCATACTTGACGGTAGGAATATGTCCCTAACCGGCCGTTACGCGTATTGATGGTTATGCTAATGAAGGGTTTCATAGGGAACAAGTTAGTATGGCAATTACGCTGGGTACTCTAGTCTTATCATGAACCGGCACTGAACGAAGCAGTGTGCTGGTGAATTAAATCGGCGGGTTGTATGAACCCCCGTCTCGCTTTGATTATCGATCGCGCGCCATAATTGTAGACACTGCACTCGCTCGGGCCGTGATTAATTTCAGTGGGGATATTGTGATTTGTAGGTGTCACTGGCGATAGCTGACGTGCTGGTCCTGCTGGCCTCCATCCCCGACTCGGTGGCCTCGTATTTCCGGCCGGCTAATGTATGGGTGCTGGGGCAAATTGGATGTCAGACGCTCATCTTCCTGCAGTACCTGGGCATTAACGCCAGCAGTGCGAGGTATGTGTACAGTTACGCTTTTCATCACTGCAACAATTGCTCCGCTGTGGTGCGATGGTATACCGTTTCCGCTGGAAAAACTGCCCTTCTTCCGGTAGCTGCTAATTATAGAATTACTGACGCAACACTTTTCTACGTCTTCTGTTTACGACTTCCGCCGTTTGGCACAGAATAGTATCCGTGTAATTTGCCGGTCTTTCCGGTGCCACCTGTTTTTACGTGGAGAAAACCCGTATAAGCTTTTGCAAATTAGAGTTCGGTATCTATATCTCAGCAGCCGGATGTTACGCTCCTAAACTGTCTTTCTCAGCAATGTATACAAATCACTGGTCTACAGAACGCGGTGAATCCGGAGAAAAAGATTATTTTTTGATGTGCGAGTAAGCGAGATTTGGTTCACTTAAAAATCGTAAAAATTCCGTACATGCTTGACCAGGAAGTCTCCGGTTCGCGTACTTGACAAAGCTTTTTGGTACTTTTCTAGGCCTTCTACTTTGAAATGATTTGTATACATTTGCTCGAAAACTGTTTGAGCGCACCACATCCGGCTGCTGAGATATTGCGGCTAAATAAAAAGGGCAAATAATTTCCAGTTTTTTAACCCTAGCTTGTAATTGCAGTATGCTGGCCTTCAGCGTGGAGCGCTACTATGCGGTATGCCGGCCCCGACCGCTCCTAGATTACCAGGTCAGCCAGGCCAAGATCCGGCGCGTCATCCTGGCGCTGTGGATAGGCACCAGCGTTTACTGCAGCCCGTGGTTTTGGTTGACGGAAACGGCCAGTATGGGCTACACCCAAGCCGCCCACCGGCAGCTGCAGCGCTGCCAGTTCCGTCTGTCCCGCCAGCAGTACGCGTATCTCTTCATCGGCGACCTGGCGCTTTTCTACGCTCTGCCGCTCTTGATCTGTGGCGCTCTCTACGCGAAGATGGGCCTCGTACTGTACCGCAGTACCCAAATGAATATGCCGGATTCGCGACGCCCGTCCGCTGCCACCTCCGGCATTGAGCAGCAGCCGGTCTTGGCGCTGGTGCCGGAATCCCCGGCGGTCAGCACGGAGGTGTGCCAGTTAACGTCACGCCGCTGCAGCATCGATAGTGGCCGTACGCGCCGGATCGTCCGCTCCCGAATTCAGGTAATTCAAAACCGGATGAAAAAACCACCTTTCCTTCTTTACCCGAAAAATTGATTTTTTGCGTCGCTTGCGTCATTCTGACTCCCGTTTATATGTATGCCTTTTGTGATTCCCTGAAACGCTTGGTAGCGCTATAAGTAATAATATGCGATGATAGCCATACGCTGTCTCACATTTTAATTATGCAGTGTACACCTATATTACCGGCTTTGAAGTAATGTATTTTCGCAGGTGGTGAAGATGCTGGCGCTGGTAGTTTTTCTGTTCGCCGTCCTGTCCGTACCTTACCGTTGCTTGATGGTGTACAACTGTTTCGCCGACAAGCCCTGGTTAAACGTTTGGTACCTGCTGTTCGCCAAAACGTGTATTTTCCTCAACAGCGCCATCAATCCCGTCCTGTACAACGTCATGGTAAGCACTCACGTAAAGTAGCTTCTTAAATTAAAAAGTTCCGTCGACCTTTAAAATTCAACTGTTATGCCCAGTTTGCAACAACTTGGACAATACAGTGACCTAGTTTTTCCTGGCTGAATTGCAGAATTGCCGCTTCCGAATGGCATTCCGCTCCATGCTGGCGTGCGAGAAGACAAAGAAATGAAACGAAGGAGCTTCGTGTCCCAAGTAATGCCGACTGCGCCCAGCTGGCTAAATTTCATTGGTGACAGTGCTTTATTGGCGCTAGTTACAGCATATCTTGCAGGGATTGCCGTGTTAAAGCCCTGCGCACAATATAATAATATTATGCTTTCCTGGATTAAGCTAGTCCCAATGTCACCATGTTATAATTGCCGGTTGCGACGCAGTCACGGACAGATACTGCAGTGTACATATATATAGCGCTTTTTGTGCAACATTCAAATGTTATTTGATTTTTTTGCTGACAAATTTTTTCCCAAAGTGAAAAAGTAGAGGTCTGCGTGGAAATTGTTTAGCACTACGCACTTGTCCTATTTTTGTAATACGGGTTGGAATCACGCACTGCGATCTTACCAACTGTAACAATATGGAGATTATAAAAGCGATTACGTCCGTCGAAATTACAAATTTACGGAGCCCGATCACATTTATTTATCGTATACTTAATGTGGTTAACAAAGAAGAAGAAGATAAACAGAAGACACATAAAAAACATAAGAAGAAGACCAGATATAGAGCCAGCTAAAAAGCTAAAAATATAGAGCTAACAAGACAGCCATCACAGATGTCTGTTTAGTACTTGTTTAAAGACTTATTTTGCAGCTATATAGCGTTTGTTAATCTGCTGTTAACGTGGTTTTCGCCGAATAAAACAGAAAACAAGGTTTAATGGGCTGCAAATACTTTCTACGGCAATGAAGGAGAACATACGCAGAGATTTCTGGAAAAGGATGAAGCACTACTGAATTCAAGTGTCTTTTTGCATGCTGAAATTTGATTGCTTTTACGAGAAAGATTCATTTGTAGACTATCGTAGCATTCTTTACCATATAGTACGCAGGTGGTTTTCTAATGCGATTATAGCTGCGTATGTGCTAATAACTGCAAGCGGCTTTGTGTTATCGAAAATCAGACTTTTTCAGTATTTCAACAACGCCGGTCAAAACGTCGGCGTTGTCGTCGTTGATGTTTGTGATGCGTACGGGCAATAACCTGCGGTAATAATGCAACCGGTTGCAGATCTACATTACAAAGCACCAGTTACAATGGCCCTTAATGCTACCTACCTGTACGCAGAGTTCTACAAGACTTTACATGTAAAGTATAATACAAGCCCGCCGGGAGTTTAACACATAATAATTATAATATACACATTGCACACTTACACATGCGTTCGTTCTCAAAAGCCACACTATACATATGTGATATGCTGGTCCACTCTGGAAGATAAACTATGTATTCTTACTATTCTTTTTAGTTGAAGAGGAGATGGTACATGCTAACAATTTCGAGTATGTGAAGTACGGCATCACGAGATTTGTATATTATGCAATGGAAAAAATATGGAAGGAACCAAGGTGCTCTTGCTGCAATTTTATTCGAGTAATTTAGTTGCAAAACTAAACACGTACAAGAGCACAGTATAACAAAATCATAAATTCATAATCATATTCGCTCTTTAGCACTGGTAGTAAGATGATTCTCCATCGCTACTGCACCATGTCGTTGTCGTTTCGTAAGATGGCTGCGCGACAGCTACCTGGTCGTCCCCGTCATCATCATTACAACGTTTCCTGCGCGACTGAACTGAAGGTATACTTGCATTTTCCCAACATGGATGAGCCTCACCAGGTTGCCACTTGCCATCCTCGTTGACGTCGATAGTGTTGAAGAGTCGCTCAATTACTGTCTGGTTTAGAACTGGGCCGTTTTTGCGAGCTCGTTCACTTCCAGGACAACGTCCTGGTTGGCGTCGGCATAAGCGAAAACGGTCGCGAAAATTCGGCATGTGTCGTCGGTATCGTTAACGCCCCGTTTTCTGCGCTTTTCCCAAGACGAATCGACGAACTGCATCCCAAGTCGTGCTCCAACCGCGGCACCTGCCGGCCGGTCCGCCTGGTGCAAACCCGATTTTCCGGCTCCAACAATTCCACATCCACCAACCCAGGTTGCTTTCCTCCAATTTATCCCTCGCTCAGCCCGTGTACCGCGTAGGCGAAAAAACAGGTCCACTTTTAATTATGCCGGCATTGGATGAGTTGCTACTGTTTGTGGTCACGTGTTGTAGTGCATCGCTTGAGGCACGTGCCACGGCAGAGACGTTTACAAACACTAGCAAAACAGATGCACCAGACAGTTTTATGGTAAAACCGGCCATACCCGCATCGTTTCAACCGGCTGACTGGTGTGAAAAAAAAACACAATTCACCAAACTTCTCTGGCGCACTTCAGACTTCCTCAGCAACCAACGCCTCATTTACTTCTTCTCAAAACGTCTTTAGAATCTCGCACGCAACAATGTCATGCGCCAAAAAGTATGTATTATTACGTATTTTTGAAGTCTGCGAGTATGGATTCAATTTTCGCTAAAGAATACACAAATTTAAACATTTTTGAACAGTTAAAATTTGCACGTAATCTGGCAGCAGTCATAACACCGAACAAAGCACCGCCAATATGCCCGTCGCATACAAACCGCCCCGGTATGGATGCCTGTAATCACGTAAATTTACGACAAGCATTTGCAAATTGCACCAAACGATCCGTCCGTCTGGTACTTACTCGTTAGTACAGTATACCGTCTGTATCTGCTACCATAGAACTCCACCAGTAGAATGCGCGTTGCGAGATCCTACGTTCTGATAAAATCATAAAAGCACCAATGTTTTTAGTGCGGATACTGGATAACTCTTGATCTGTGGATATCCTGAAAATTTTTGTGTTCTTTCACCTTCCAGCGAACTAGGCAAGACCCTGCAATGTAAGCGAAAGCCCCACGCAGATTTTTGTGTAAGAGGTATTCCACGCCTGGAGAACTCAAGGTTTGCCAATGCGAAGGAATACAACGAGTTTATCGCTAGCCAAGGGATTTCTACGAGATTTGTAAGTGTATTTATTCCCTCTCGAGGAGATAAGCGCACCGCGACGTTTGCTCGAATTGGAATATTCAAGGATGACGCTGAAAAAATTCTCCGACCTGAAATCTGGCCGTCTAATGTTTTTGTCCAAGAATGGGTGTACTGATTTATTGTTGACTATTCACTATTGTGATCTCTTGTTTTCACGTTTAAATGTTGTCTAAGCAGGGCGCAATCCGAGGGAAACCGAGAAACGGCTGAAAAAGGCGCCGATGGGGGAATCGAACCCCGGCTACGTCGTTAGATCCGCGTAGGGCCGTAGGCAGTACCACAGTGGTACTACCACTGCACCACGGCGCAAAGTGTTGAAAATCCTTGAAAGACTTTGTCGCTGTACATGAGCCGCTTCTCTCCTCACAGTTGTATGTAATTGTATAAAGTACGTATATATTATTTGTGAATGCGATATTTCAAAGAATTTTGTGCGTAGCTGTCCTTTACTGTGGCAGCTAATCTTGTATGTTAGTCTGCACCCTCGTGCAGGTTATCACCTGATAATTGTAGACGTTAAGCTGACTAAACAAACAAACAAACAAACTGTAAGTTGTAACGGTTTATTACTTTTACTTCAGCCGGCTGCCTGAGGGATCAGTAAGTTTACGCTCGACATGTCAGAGACTGGGGCTAATTGTTCTCATCCTCGAAAACGCCTTCGTCAAGATGAGACAGCACTGATAAAACTGGATGACGCGCAGCTGGTCGAAGGACTGCGGCACACCCGCCACGATTTCTGCGACGTGTCGGTGCGGGGCGCGGATGATCCGTCTCGGCCGGTGCAGTGGATCGCCTGCCACCGGATAGTTTTGATGGCGTGCAGTGGCTGGTTCCGCTGTATGCTGCGCTCGCCCATGCAGGAGTCCACACAGAATCACATCCAGCTAAAAAGTATTCCCCACGACATCTTGGAGCAGTGAGTGCGCGTGGCTAAACGATTTACTAATTGACTGATTCGGTGAAGTTAATTAATTTGCATGATTCTTGCATGCTCGTCTTCTATCTTGGCTCCGTGGGTCTCTGCTGTCTGTAACATCCTGAACGTGTCCCAGCTGCTACTCAATGGCATATAACCGTGGACTGTGAAAGAGTCCAGGACGGAAGCCCAGACTGACAGGACTCCGTGGAATGTAGAACGTGTCGTACAAGGGATGAAATGCGCAACGCACGATATCCAGACTACGTTATACAATTTAATAATATCTCCGATCGAGAACCAAAACACACTGACGTTCAGACTACTCAGTCAGCTAACGTCTACCCAATATCTCACATACAAACTGCACGGCGCATAGTGAACACAGTGAACAGCAGCCGTCAGCCAATCAGAAAAGAGACACGCCACAGACGGTAATTCCACGGGGAAATCCCCAGTGCGCAGTGCAACGAAGCACTCCCCCAACTCCAGTAGCGTCACTAAGGTGGACGCAAGGGAGCCATCGCCTCACATGCCTCTGGGTGGGAGGCTGAGCTCCGTCGAAGCTAATTCCATTCCATCTCGCTCCGATCGGTGGTCTGTGCGCGCGCTCGTAAACAAAAACAACATCAAATTCTCTCTATTCCTTCTTATCACATAATTCCAAATGCACAATGTGAATTAAAGAGATCTGTATAAAAATACTATTCCATATAAACAGATCAACAGTTATAACAGATCAACAGAAGCAGTTAAATGAAACATGTAGACTAGGATCCTCCATTGACTCGCGTAGGTCACTGGTCCTGTCCACCGTTTTCCACATCTCTTTGGCCCATTCCGCTCCATTTTGAGCAACTTCGCTCCGCTTGAGCATCTCTTGCGCATCCTCGTGCGACTTTCATCACATCAGCTTTGTAGGAATAAGGTGCGTATCGAATGTACGTCTTAGGAATACTGCTTCAGCTTTGGAATAGGTGCGTATCAATTGTACGACTTTATAATGAGATCCGGTTAAGTCATGGAGGGACATCATATAGACAAGCGAAGTTCGCTTCCTCCCTAGTGAGATCATCCTTCTGATCATGGATGTGCGACATCATCTGGTACAATTCATTCAGCATATGTCATGGAGGAACTTAGCCGTTTTTCAGCTTCAAGCTCATTCAGCTTGCCTCCCTAGTAAAAGTCATCTCGTCGCACAATCCATCTCTTCTGCCTTATTTAGAGAGCCGGCCAAGTGTACCGTAGCTACTCTTAACTAAGATGAGTCGATATATAGGGATGCCGACATAAGCCGTAGCAACTCCTATCAGATCGGTTTTTTACTGATCCATCATCTCGTTCGACCCATCTCCATCGTCGTTGTCGCGCGGTGGACGTTTTCGCGTTGGACCCGGCTGATTTCTGTCAGAAGTCCGATCAACTGGTGCAGCTGATCCAGCCGGTACGTCCTCTTCCGCTTGAACTCGTAAGACGATATGACGCGGACCACGACCTTTCCCTTGTCGCGAACGTTTGATCGCGTCCAAACGGTGTCGTGCCTCATTTTCTTCACGTTGCAAGTTTCGATTCTGAGGATCTTCGGCCAACCGTTGTCGGGCATCCTCGTACTGGTTTCGGATGTTCTGGTTTCGAGCAGCTCGTCTGCCCGGTGTATTCGGAACTTGTGCCGATGTCGGTTGCTTCGGTCCCTTCCATACCAGGTGATCCTCGATATATTCATGGACTCGATCTTGCGGCTCGATATACGGCGTGTCCATAGTATCTCGGATTCGAGTAATTCTTTCCTGGTACTGTGCTTCGTGTATTTCATGAAGGTTACAATCGTCAAATCGCTTTTTGCAGATCGCCAATCCATCTTTCGCTTTACGTGCGATTTCCTGATGTCTCGACGGCATTCCTAGTTTAGCAACTTTTTCCCGATACACAGACGGAACTTTCCCCTTCGTAAAGTCCGAAAACAGCTGATTCTGTGTCGGAAAATGGCCCAATCTCGCAGCAAAGACCTTCTGACCGAAAACTCGCGATTTGTAGTCGGTAGGGTCAACCGTCAGTCCAATGGCTGCTCGTGCCGCAAGTACCTTGAATGCCGGATTCACGTTACGTAGCACAAATTGTGCCACATATAGACTTCGCTCCTTAATTTCTTGGTAGCGGAACTGTGTAAGTCCCGTATTGTCGATTGTATCCAATGGGACTTCCCATAAGCTCAAGTCGAGGAGACTCGGTAAGCCACATTGTCGGATTGGTGTGTAACACACCATCGCAGATTCGGTGGTGATCTCCAGGCGACCGAGGTTACTCTCTCTGAGATTTGTTTCGTAATTAGAGTCCCGTAAAAATTCACGAAGGTTATGGAGCTGCGCATGTATCATCACTGACTGCTCCGATTCGATTTCCAATCCGAAGTAGCGACAGATTTCAGCTCGCTGAGTTTCGATGTCGTCCATATCATACATTTTGCTAATCAGCCTCCGACGTGAATTATCAAAGCGAGAGTGATCTCTCTGACGACCATCTTCACGTCGTCGATCAGGTCGCTCCTGTTGACGGTGGCGTTCAGGCTGATATCGGTTTTCCGGTTCCTTTTGCGATTCGTGAGGGCCTTCCTGCTCACGTCGCGCCGATGTCGATGGTTCAAGATCGCGGTCTAATACTACGTTCCGTTTGTGAACGATACTTTCTGATGATAATTCCATCGGTTCATCATCATCCATCGTTACAACCAATGGTTCTACCATGTGGACCACTGATTTAACTTTCGGCTGTTTCGGTGGAGTATCATCACGTTCCCCACTCGAAGTTCGTTTATGGTTGATCGGGAAACCTGCGAAGTAATTCATATCATCCTGCCATCCCTTATCATATGGACTACGGCTTCTGGCGGGTCCCGTTAAGGTTCCTTCTCGTCGTTCCGGTGTGAACCCTCCGACTTTCGGATGACAGAAACCAACTCCCATCGGTATCTGTTGACGAGGTTCATCTCGACGCGTTTCATCTTGACGCGGTTCATCTCGTCGTTTGTCAGTGGGTTGATGGCGACGATGTGCGCTGGTTTCGATCACTTGATCTCCGTGTCGCACCCATGATCTGCCGCCTCGGTAATCATGATCGCGCGAACGTGATCTATCATCTCTTTCGTTATGATAGTCACGAGTTCTTTCGCGGGAGCGTTCTCTTGACCTTTCATTGCGAGAGTCGTAATTTCGTTCATGTGAATACTCTCGTGATCTCTGATGTTCCCTTCGCACTGGTGATCGAGGCCGTTGGAAACCTTCATCGCGCCGAAAACTTTGAAATGCTTTCATAACATCCCGTTCCATTTCATGTGTCTTTCGAACCTCCTCGGTCATCTTTTCGATGAGCATCTTAGTATCGGGTTTAAGCGGTTCGCCTCTTTCCAATCTCATTTTCTCTCGTAGGAGGAGTTCGAATGTACTTGCGCGGATCTTTGACGGTTCCTTAATTAATTCATCGATCTGGAGGAGAATGGCCTTCACTCTAACCTCCGCTTCGGCTGCATTCAATTGCGCCACAGGAATAGGAGCTTTGCCCTGCACCGACCTTTCTCGGTAATCCTGGGCTGCCCGTTGTTCGGCACGTTTTCTACTGTCTTCCAGATCCTTCTGTCGTTTCTCCTCCATCATCTTTGCTTGATCCGCCTCAAACTTTTTGCGGAAGGCGTCGCATAAATCATCTTGTGGAGGTTCGTATGTAGCGTCCCAGCCGATCTCGCCATTCTTGATCGCTTGTCGATATCGATCTTCGATCAGCATCTTTTCTCGTGGTGGAACTGTCTTCCATGCCTCTGCTGATGTTATGGCTCGGAAAACATCTTTATTTCCGCGGATGGCCTCGTTATATGCCACCAGAGTTCGATTCGGTTCTTTAAAGATGCAAAACCAGCAAGGATAATCTCCTTTTTCAACCTTGTTGTTTCTGATACAGTCCGGACATTTAGAGTTATAGCCCGTAAACGGATCAATCCACGGTTTTGGCTGGTTTGCGGCAGGTGCGGTCGCAATTTGAGATCGCGGGGGTGCTGGTTGACTTCGCACATTCGTAGGTGCGACTTGATTCTTCGCGGGTGTGGTTCCAGTTTGACTCTTCGCAGCTGCCGTTTGACTGCCTTGAGGCACAGGTGTTGCCTGACTTGTGGACGGCACCACCTGACTTCGCGTGGATGTCGGTGCTGCTTGATTTTTTCCGGTTGTAGATCGGGCTTGGTTACTCGCGGCTGCTGCTGGTGCTGCTTGACTTCTCACCGCCGGTGCCGCCGCTTGAGTGTTCGACTTGGTCGGACCTTTTTCCGCCATCTTCGTTTTTAATCTGCAATGGTAAGACGTGTCAAAATATCATCTCGTAACCATCTCCCGATCATTCTTTATCATCCTTTACGCCTAAGTTAGGCTATTTCCGTACTGAGCTGAGACCTTCCTAGCTCCTAATGACATTTTTAACACTGTGACATGGTGACCTTTCCATGTTATCAGTTCTAAGCTCATTCGCCTGTTTTAACTGATGTGATTATCTCATCTTCTCATCTCGTTTTAGCACATTCGCTAAGTCATCTCAACCATCTGTTTCAACGTTTTTCATCTCGGTTATTTCAACTTTTCACTTTCGTTAAACTGGAATGATGCTGTTTCATCTGTGATATGCGGTGGACCTTCCTGACCGCATATCACGCATCTCGCGTTCACTCTTTTGCTGATGTGTCAGCTGACTCTACTGTCTCAGTCGCTGCTGACACCGTATCCCCAGTTTCTGGTGGTTTCATTTGAGCATCGCCGGCTGCGGGCTCGGCCGATGTCGACTGTTGCGATTCCAAGACAACTTCCTGAGATGCCGAAATGTTGGCTGAGTCCACAATCTCCTTCTCTGGAGTATCTTCTGGAAGCTCTCCGGGTTTTGAGAAGATACGCTTGTTCTTAATCTCAAGAAGGTTATCATCGAGGAGACTTTCCACTGCTTGTCTGATCACATCACGATCTCTT